ATGAATAATTTCTGTTCAAAAAAACTTGATTTATATTCGCTTGCACTTGCGCTGAGGTTGACCCTAAAAAATGGACAATTGTTTAGTAAAGTCGCGGCTATTTCTATTTGATGTTTGAGGACTGTGTTTCAACATCGCTTCTTATATGTGCTGCATGTTTTAATAAGCATCAAGAACACCGGCAATCAAATGTCATCTTATGAATTAGGGGAAAACGCAGGGATGTCGCTGAAATGTGAAATTCTTCCTTTTAATAAATACATATTGTTTTGCAATAGTTTGTTCCAATCTCTTCATTTGGACTTTAGATCTATCATTTGACCAAACGGTTCGTTTACATGACTTGTAACTTGTAGAAGATTAAAAAACGCATACGATCATTAATATGCATAACAAAACTTCGATGTGTCTTGTGTTTCCCACTATTTTCCTCTCTTTAAGGCCCCCTGATTTAAATGCCGGTCGAGAGTAGAGTTTGTCTGCCCCACAGACCGAATTAAGCTTGGTCCCAAAGCTGCGGAAGCTTCTCTCAGAATTCCTATAGCATTTGGTAAAGGTGTGGTAGGTAAAAGTAAAGCCTAGACATGGTATCAAATTTAATTCCGCTGATAATTTGCCAAAATAAATCAAAAAGAGGGTTCGGGTAGTGTTTACTATTAATGGAGAAGTCTTGCAAGCCACCAAGCAAATGGGTCTCACGCCCATTGACGATGGAAGACAGTAGGCTTTAAAGGCTCAACCTGTTTTTTACTTATTTTATGTAAGTTGTGAACACGACTTGCGCATTTTTGATCGTTTTTCGAGTGGCGTGTGATTGAACATATTTCAAGTACTGATGTTACGTTCAACTACTGTTGTTAGTTACCTCCGAATGATTTTACTAATTAATCCACTCTCTTGAGGTTCCAGATTATTTCCAGAAGACTGTGACTGCAACACAGACGAACCGTTTACAATGATAATCTTTCTAAAGGCCATAAGGGTACGAATAGAATTTATCTGCTCTATGTGTTTGCTAATGCAAAAGGTTGAGGTGTTATGAGATGTATGATACTTTGAAGCAAAACCTCTGCTCTTAATAGCCAACCAGAACGTACGGCTTCTCTTATTCAACTTTATTTTAGTGAACTTTGTTAGAACTCCTAAAATTATGAAAGGTTTATTTTCTTCTTGATGCCAGTGCTATGAATGCCACAACCCTCAGCTGAAAAAGGCCAAAACACACGTTCCCGACAGGCTAATCAGTAACTCTTAATGGTCTCCTGTGCTAAAAGCATGGTAACTCGGTCTTTCCGCTAACTGAAGGCGGTCAGATGCCCTGATCAACTGAGCACTGGGACTGGATTTCATTTAATGTCTAGGGGATATCATTTGGCCTCGTGGAAAATGTGTGACGAATCAGTAAATGGGTAGTTTCTTAATGCTGACGTGCGAGATCACGGATACAGTAGTATAGCAAAAGTGTTCAACTCAAGCATTAGCACACGAGTGGACGTGTTTGATTGTTGCTACCACCTTTGCTCTCATGGGAATGGAGTGAAATGCACATCTCATAATTTGCGACGCCAACCCTGGAACAGCTAAGTCAAAAGCGGGTTATTATCGCCAAAGTAGTACAATTAGGTTGATGGCAAAATTAGTCAATATAAGTGAGGATCGCCTTGTTTATGTTCATATTCAAAAACATGAACTTCATTTACTCATTTCATAGGCTTTAATTTAATATTTAAGCTTTGTTAACTGAAAGCTCTTAAGTTGACCTTACAATAACTAAACGACTTATTAAAAAAATTAGGTCCTAAAAAGGTGTGCAATGAAAAACTAATTACACTTATTTTGATGAAATATTACCAATATTAACAAGGGGCCGATTCATCACTTGCTCAACTGCAAGAAGCAGTAAGGAAAAAAATAAAAATGACGTTCGTCTCATTGACTTGATGCCTTGAAGACACGAGCTTGGGAGTCCGTACGGTGGAACGTACGCTAGGCACTCAAACTCGGGTCTACAGGGTGTAGGTCACTGAGAAACTCAATCGAATCTGTCAGTTAACTGGCAGAACAAGTTAGAAAACAACTAGTTACAGTGTGAACATTAAAAAAGGGGGATAAATCGTAGTGCTTGGCAGATTATGGATCGGCTATGATGCAATATAAAATGAATCTACCTGAGCAGTTACATAAAACAGCGGAGTGGTTGCGATCGAGACCACTTTAAAATACTTGTGCGCACACTACAGCGGAGAAGTAGAGGAGCTGGGAAGAGGAGGTGGGAGTGTGTCAGTGGGCAAGGCCGCCGGAGCGGCCAAATGATTGATGATAGCCCTTACATACACACACAAGCGCGATTCTGCGCGCAACCACCGTATTGCGGCAAGAGGAGCGTGTGTATACGACGGGCGGCATATATCCATTTGCTTCCATCTACTAAAGCATTCCTACCCTACGCAGGAGACAGAAAGCCTCCCAAAACTATGTCGCGTCGCGTCAACATCAAGTGTGCGGCATGCATATGAAGGTAATACACTACTGTAAAATGCTATAAAATCGGTTATTTTAAATTTTTTAACTTAGAGGACATGTTTTTCATGCTAACGAGTTTTTGACACTTGTAGCTATAGGCGGGATATCGGTCATGCACCTTTTCCGAATCAGCTAACATCATAGAGTAGGAAACCCCTACATGGTTAAATCGAGTTAATTTGCAAATGTAATGCTACATAATGAAAGGAGTGCGGAAAGCAGGTGAAGGTTAACAATGTAATTAACTTTAGGGATCAAAAAACCCACTATTAGAGCTACAGAGGTCTGCGTTTATAAACTTACTGTTGTGGAACTTTTGCAGTCAGTAATTAAACCTTTTTACTTTAGACCTTCAATCAATGGAAATTTAATTAATTTTTGTAAGAAAGCTAAAACAGATTTCACTGCTCAATTAATCCTAGGAATTATTTCGATACCTATGCCAAGTAGGAGATTGAAAATTAATAGAAGACTGTGTGTTATAAAATATCCAAATTAGTGGGTCTTTCAACAGAACCGAAACTCAAGAAAAAGTAGATAAGTTTTGTTGGTCCAAACTACGAATAGCATATGCGTACAGCGGAATGCAGAAAGCTTTGAAGTGACGCAACTTTTTAAATGCGTCGGTGCTTGACTCACTTTCTTCGTCACAACTACTCAGTGCGAGAGATCACGCTTATTGGCACGCTTCGTCCTTTCTGCTCACCCCTGTGTCTACTCAAAATCAAACGTGGTTTTTTACGGTTATTTTCAAGTTTAGGAAATAGAAAGAATATCATACATTTCTGACCGATTGAAGGAATAAATGATAGTTAGGTGAAACTTCAGGTGACCGAGTTATAGATATTTAAATTTGCATTTATAGTTGTATCTAAAAATATTATAAGCCCCTCTATCTGCGAATGGCATACCAAACAGAAGGTAGGTAGAAATGGGAATGTACAACCTCCCAATAAGGTAAATTGAAGTGGTTCTTACCTTCGTTTGCGAATGCTAGCACACTTTATTACGATTATAAATATTGAGGCAACCCTGACAAAAATCTAATTAGGTTTACTGGCAACTTGGAGGTTACGATAAGTTGACCACGTATATATCGAAACTCCATGCAAGCATTTTGCTACCTGGACTAGCGATCAATGTGCGTTTTGGTAACAAGACGAATGTTTTAAACTAGAAAGAACGACGGTCATTTCGGGAGATTGATCTTTCGAGGGGTCTGTATTATATCAAAACCACGCCCATCGGGGAGGGTGAGGGAAGGACTTCTTTGATCCCTGTGGTAAATATATAAGCTGCATGCGTAAGATGACTAAACGAGCCGCTGCTGCCGCCATTACCACCAGCGTTGCCGACGTGGATGGGGGTGCCTTTATCAAAGGAAGTGTCATGGTAGCGCAAGTCGTGCTGGTCCTGAGAACGCGGACGATGCGGAAATACGAATCGGCCGCACAGTTTTTACGATTAGAGGGTGTGCGGATGCATGTGCGTCATACGATGGTCAATGCGTTGTCGGCATACATAAAAGGCATGCAAGAGTCAAAATTTCAGTGCCTTTTATAGCCTGACATACGATTTCTGCTTACACACCTTAAATCAGTTGGATTTCTAGTCCCCTGGCCCCTAAAGTGATTCGAGAACCTCCACTGTCGGTATGGCCAGGTCTCAAATGTAAACTTTAGCGGTGTGATCGATGTGGTGCCTTGTAAGTAACCATAGGCGGAGGTGATTGGATCAGAAATAATGGTATTATTTAACATTCCAGTTGCACTACAGCATATTGAAAGGTAGTATGACATTCATTACTAACCCCACAGACCATTTTTGTCAACATGAATTTGCTTTGACTCTTAACAATCAAAAAGCTTCAAGTTTTACATTTTTATTAGCGACATAGGTGAATAGTTATCGGATTTGCATTTGATTCATTGAGTTAGTATGTTGCATATATATCTATAACATGGTCCACAATTAATTTACATTAGCATTCTTCCACAAAAATTATAAGGCGAGATATTGCTAGTGAAGTCCAGTTTCAAGATCGATGAACATATAAAATTGAATTAAGCAATTATGTTATTAAAAACGCCGGCAGCCTCGTCATTTTAAAGCACAATCCACCAAATTCTAGGTTTTTCCCATCTTAAATAAGTCAGACACTAGTGATTACATCAGCCGTCTTTCTAAAGATCAACATAATTTTACACAGTTTTGTGACCCATTTACACAATCTTAATTGTTTCCAAGATCTTGGAACTTAGACGAATCATAACTGAACAAGGTCTTAAAACAGTATAGTAACGTAGCTTTCTTATGCAACCGTATGATAATCAAGTACTTGATTCCTCTCAAGGATTACCGATGCCTGTTATCCAAAAACAGCTTCTCATTTATAAGAGAGAAGAATGCTCGCTACACCACTTCTATCGACAAACTTAACTGATCTGAGTCCTTATTGATGTAGCTGACGGGAGTAGATGTCAAGGGGGTATGAAAAATATGAAGCTACTTACTCGAAGTTAGCTCATTTGGTATTTGACGGAACAGTGGTCCAGTCCAAGGAGAGACGTTGGACACCGATTGGAAAAACGTGTGTCTTGGGTACGTATGGATCACTAAATGAGTTCCGAGAGCTAAACACTGTGCAAACCAATTGAATTACGCGTGCGTGCCGGTTGGGAGGATTGACACGTTTTAGCGTATAAGTGTATGCTAGCGCAACGCGACTGTGCCAGTTGACCAATGGCTATTGCTAGACGTTGTTTACATGCGCTTAGCGCGCGTTACAAAGAAGTACGTTTGCACTTCACACGCACACACACATAGATGACAACGTGAGCGCAAGACAATCAATTTGTTTGTCTTTCTTCACACCGCCCCGCATGTTTGCAGTGGTGCGCGCATACACTTAGGCTCGTGCTTCAAAAGACGTGGCCGACATGCACACATGCGCACAAGCATATACACACGCCTGGACTGCGAAAACACCGCACGTTACCATCCCGCTACGCACTTAAAATCAAACTTGTTCGTTTGCACACACACAGCATACATTTACATGCAGGCAACCTGAAATCGTAGTGGAAGACTTGTACGTGTGCATGCATTGCTAGGCTGGCCCAGAGTTAGGAACATAAGGGCGGTCATTTGTGGGCATATTCCGAAAGCGATGAGTAAGTTACAGCATTGCGTCCTCATTAGAACCCGGCCTCAGTCGCAAACGGCTTTTCCAGTTCAAGACTGAAAAATGAGAAATGTCAATATGGTAGCTCTTATGCGTGATCCTTGCAACAATGCAACCCGTGAAGGAAGCCTAAGGAAGCCCACTTTTGGTAGGGTAGGTGGGACGGAAGCTAGGATCGTGTTGCTAACTTGCGCTGTTTATAAAGCGCAAAACTCGATCAGCGTGCTCTCATTGATGCTTTATGGGCAGAACTTTAACATTTTTGAATTTATTAAGGTCTAAAATTTGTTTACCAAGAATCGTCCGTAAATTAATTGGTATGTTATTTCACTACAAATCCGGATTTATCTTTCTTAGCATGAGACAAGAGCAAAAGTTAAGAAAATACATTTAGACGTCACTCACACCTTCCCAACTGTCACCGCGGCGCGTGAATAACAGCGGCCGCTAAAGCAGATGGCGATAACGTAACTACAAATCTAGGGCTAATAATAAACGCTCCGCAAATGATTAATGCTGCGACGTATTTAGTGTGTATATGCGTCTGGGATCTGGTGTCTAGACGCTTCATCACTTTCTATTAATTAGCCAGACCACAAGGCTGACCAGAGAATTGACGGGTGTTTCCCCTTACCCGGATTAAGGGCCAGTGAGCATAATAACGATGCAAGAATAACTCTTTTTGCAGCATGTAAAAAGGAGTGGAATTTTGGAACTTTGAAGGACATCATTTTGTCAATTTGATTTTATTAGCCAAACGCTATAGATCAAACGATCTGGGACTCATGTCCTTCAAGAGTCTTCTTAAAGAGTCCAAATTTCGTTATTTCGTAAGTCTTCTCTCCATTGCTCCATTAGTGATGAAGATTAGGAGATACATATGCAACCACATTAACGGTAAGAATGCTTTTTCCGAAACTACTGTTCCCACTCATTTTTAAACCATTTCAAATAGATTTTTTGCCTACGCGACCACTAGGTGCTTGGAACAATTCCCAATGGCTACCCCTCAATTACAGGTCACACCTTCTCCTTATGCGCACAACTAACAGAACAGTTTCGAGAGTTATTCATAAGTTTCTGCACAAAGGAGCAAACCTTGCCAAAACATGGCTTTGTATCTTAATATATTTTTTATTTGCATACGAGACAAATTTTGAAGTAGCCGCAAGTACTTTTGAAGGTCCCAGATCATGAAAGTAAGTTACGAAATCAAAATTTAAGCCGTAAAAGTAGTGTAGAAGTTAAATTACATTTAAGTTATGAATTAAAATGGAAGGCTTAATTCATAACCAAAGCCCTATTTTGACATTGACTTCAAAACTGTTTGAAATAGAGAAAGCACTTGATTGATATATAAAAACCTTAACGGAGACAAAGCGCGAAGAGCTCCTTGGATAGTAAGCACATTTCACTTTCACTTTGAGTTGTTTTAAGCCAAAAAGTGAAAATTCAAGTGCATTATTGCTATATTCTGTCGAGATAGAGAAGGTAGCTCATTCGAGTAAATTACGAACTAAGACGAGTTCACCGAATAATGATTTGCTCAAGGTAGCAAATCAGAAGGATCAAATTAGAAATGCTAAAAATTATACTACTTACCTAAATTTCAGTCAAAACATCATGTTTTTCCTTGGAAAACATCTTGTTTTAGTTTATTTTTTTTATGGAACCACACGATTCTATTTTTGGCAAAGGCTCATTTGCTTATTGGACGAAAAATAGAAATACCCTCTGACAAAAGAGAAGTAGGCATTAAAACTCTAAATACAAAGGCCGTGTGCTTTGTCATACTGCTAGGCCATTTCATTGGGAGAAAACACCCGATTTCCTCCTTTGGAAAAATGACTCACTGGAAATAGCCATTCGTCGTCTTAAATTTTGGCTTGTCGCGAAGGCCGTCGGCAACGCCTTTGAACCACATATGCTATTTATTTTAGCCCTTTTTTGATGCTGATTGGGAAACTATAAAAATTTCCTCCTAATTTGGGTATTTTTTGCAAAAGGAGCCAAAAATTTAATGATGAAATAGAACAAAGTCACTTTTCTACGAATGACATTATTAGAATTCAAAATCATGGAAGGTTCCAGTGAATTTCAATGAGCGCGAATCAATACTTCATTGACTTTTTCTTTCAGTTAGAACACTGATAAATTGGCTTCCGTCAAGTGGTACTTAAACTTGCCCAGACATACATATGGAAGAAATTACTACAATTTTTCTACTTGTGGCAGATGAATGGTGGACTTTAAACTTCTGGTAAGAAATTAACTAGGCAGGTAGGCGTTCCCGTTTGATTCTCAATTGTTCGACTATTCTTGCCTAATCATTATAACCCTTCCCTAAGGCCGAATAAATACATTAGCTAAAGTAATGCATAAAGAACAATGCCTTTACGCGGTTCGCTCATTCCCAAAAGAGGCAAAACAATAATGAAATCAGGTGAACTTACGGAAATCTGGTCGCACTGGCTACGCATAAATCTGTATAAAGTTTCTTTATTGACACTCAAGCCTGTAACTTTGTGATGCATTGAGTCAATTCAAGTACACGGGATTGCACTCATTCCAACGCTGTTTCCTACCTCCCTTTATATTTACAACATTATCCACCTATGCGCATTTCAGTATCAACAATATCGGTATCCTGAAATTCATTCGCTTGATTACGTTTTTGCAATCGACTCTAGGTGAGAAATTGGTTCTCAAAAGAAGCATAGTCTCTGTGATAAAAATCGCAAATTTCGTAGAACTTTTGATTATGTGTACACTGATTCAATATTAAGTCGGGAATACAGAATAAGTCAAAAGAAAATCCATAGTTATTTTTGAGGAAAATCGAGCGTCTGCAATAGTATGCTATTGAAATAAGTGAGTGAGCTAAATGAGAACTTTGGTAGTGTGCTTCTGCCTTATGAAATGCATAAGCTGTTAACAGCTATTAGCATTTTCGGAAGCTACTAAGAAACTAAACCCTTTATTTGTTTCCATTCCATAATACTAGGTGCATTTTTTATAAAATATGCCTACGATTCGTATATTTTGGGACCCAATAACAATTAGAACAAAAAACACTAATACCAACACTAGGTTTATCCAATTCCATTATACGGAGTTTACCCATACACATTCAATTTTGTTTTTAATTTAATTGATTTGGAACAAAGCCGAGCCATGCAATGGCAGACATCGATTTATTTGTACACGTTACAACTTTGGGGACATGCAGAAGTATTATTTATTCCACCAAATTACATAGATTATTGTTTCTAAATGATTCGGGATTACGCATATTTAAAACATGATTCTCAAACATGAGTTCACTCAAAGAGTCATTGTTAAACAAAAGATTAATAATAATAATAGATAATCATCTAAGTGGCAAAGTCCAAGAATTAAAAAGCATGCAACAAGAAAACGAAAATAAATAAACCCAAATAAACGTAAGATCAAAGAATGTAAGAAAAAACTAAACAAATTCTAAAAGGAAAAGTATCAGGAAGTAAAAAAAAGATGTTCAGTAACAAAATATTGAAAAAACATAGCATAGTGTGGAGCGAGACTCCTCGGTCTCCGCTTCCCGATTCCTAGCGTTCCTAGACAAGCCCGGTTGGTTTACTTTGGACATCTTTATTAAAGACGACAAGATGTATAGGGATAATACAATATTC